GAGTGCGCGTCTGCTCGACCACCGGAGGTGTCCCCCAAGGGGGACGCTGGGCGCACCGCTGTTGCAGGTCATCTAAATCCCCGGCCTGAACTTAAACTCCTTTTCTGGCGACAGTTCCTGATTTATGAAAGCAAGCTGCACAAACACGTTAAAACTGTGGTCCCGTAACTGTTCGAGCGATGTCCTTTCCTCTCCTTTTACAGCGTTGCTTGAAAGTGTCCAAACGGGCGGCGCTCAAGGTGGCGCATCCGCCATCCTGAGCATTTGTGTGCAGTCTTAGTAAGATCGCCAGGACACCAGGGAGGTCATTTTGTGTCCTGCTCCTAAACAGGCGGTCACGGCAGTGCCAACTCTTTTTCCTTTCTGAAAGAAAATTGCATTGAAGAATGAAAATACAGGAGTTTTGTATGCAGGTCGTCTTTACTGCGAACTTATTTCTGTAGTAAAGTCACACACTACCTTCAGTGGAGGTTGAATGAAATGGGGGTTAGAGTATTATATATAATATTAATAGAGACAGGGGAGCGTTGAGTCAACTACCGGTTATGAACGACTGGAGCTCTTACTCACAACACCTTGCGAATAATAGGCCCTCTACAGTTGCTTATTGGATATGAATAAGATTGCCCATTTGTTCTTGGTCATATAATGTTGTAAACTCCATGGAGCTCTTTACTGAGAGTGAACTACATGGGATGAAAATAGGTTTTGGTCTCACATATTTGCATATGTTAAAATCAGATCACAATTCTTTGTACTTCGAATAGCTGTCATGTTCAGATTATTTTTTTTGGTAATAAACTTTGCATTTAAACATCTTTGTACATATGTGACATGTTTCTTCTGCATAAATTATTTTGGTGACCAAATTTCTTTTTTAAAGGATGGTCTGTACAATGAACCAAAAGAAGAAAGGGAGAGGGTGTGTATGTGTGAGAGAAAGATCAAACAAGAATGGTTTGTGTTACCATCTTGCTTTCATGATTGACACTTACCCCACCTGCATGGACCCAAGACTAAGTTTTGTCGGATGATTCAGATTCTGAATTGACCCTGAGCAAATCTCTTCACAACTAACTCTGTCATGAAAGGACAATGTCTTGGACTCTGTCCGCCTCATGGAGCTGCTGCGAGGTCCGGGGCAGCGTTTGTCCAGAGTGTGTTTTCTGTAGGATGCTGTGCCAAGTTCACAGCAGACTTAATTGCGTTAGTCTCATTCTCTGCTTTTCTACAAGCAAGTATTAAGATCCTTGTCCGATGGCAGCCTATTAATATTTCCTCTGACTGCACATGTTCTCAATCTGAAGTATTTTTTGAGTTCATCAGTTTTCCTTCAAACTGGCTGTGAGAGAAATTCCTGCCTCATTATAAAACAAAGCAGTCTTTCCAGATTTCTTTTCTTCCTTCCTCTCCTTCCTTCCTTCCTTCCTTCCTTC